AGCTTCTTGCAACTTTTTAATTTTCCTCTTTTTCGAAGAAGGATCGTCGTAGAAGCTAATAGATCTACACCAACGTTGACCAGTTTAAAATAACGTGCCAGATAACAGAGGCATACTCAAGACAGGCGGGAGGTGGGACGTGGTTCCTTCCAGTTGAGATAATGCCAGTTCGCTTAGTTGCAAAAAAATGATAAACAAATATAATTTAATTGGTGGACAAGTTACAGTTAAAATCAAGCTAGAAGCTTGAATTGCTGAAACGTCATGGAGAAAACAAACTTATACAAATGAAAAGTTTTATTGATTTCAAAGTTGATGTATTAAAATCCTAACAAGTGGCACCGTTTAGGTACAAGAGGATCGATTTTGAACAGGAAACATTGGAATTTTAAGGTGCATTTCCTTTCCGGAGTGTAGAATTTATCGTTGTAAAAAACGAACAAGAAAGTATATACTGAAAAGTAGGCTTACTCAGTCTCTTTGTCTTCAAACGAGATGCGGCATAAGGTTGCACTGAATGCCAATACATCTTCTAAAACAGTTAACAGTGTTAGACTGAAGAAAAATAAATAATACTTGCTTCGCTGCTAAAATGTATTTCTTTTTGGCAAAGACTAAGTTTTCGAGGCTTCCGCACTCTACTTTGAAATTTTTGACATCCTAGTAGGCGCACAAACACGGAGCAACAGACAAACGAATATGGTTCCGTGGTTCTGTTGTTGCCGCATTTGTATGAGCATAAATTCACATAATAAAATATTCTAATGCTACGAGGATTACATTAAAAAGCCCTAGTGTGACGTCAAACGACTGTGAATGCCACGCAAATCCCTTACGTAAGTCACTCGAAATCCCTTCACGGATATAGAGAATCCATGGGATAATACTGGCTACTTTGCTTTGCTAATAAGTGGTGCATAAGCGATGGCATTCGAAAAAAAAAGAAGCAGCTAGTACTCAAACAAACTGCTACCATATGTACTATAAAGGTACAATCTATAAAAGCATACTGCGGAGAATAAAAGGACCTGTCATAGCTTTTTGTATGTGCTTCCAAATCGACATTCTAAGCATTTTTACTGTCTGGAAGAGTTATCGCAGAATTCTAACCAGCACGAAGTGTCAGTTTGTTATCCGCCTGGTTAAGAACGTAGAAATTATGTAGTCGCTTAGTGGAGAGGGGCATCGTTCTTTTGTCTTGTTGAACTGCTCGTATGTTCTATGATCAAAGCCAAAACTTTTCCGTATTCGCTGTCCATGAAAGCCAGTATTCCAGAAACAGTTTGAGGGGTAGTGGTAGCATATGGCAAGGCCGTTGCTAGTTTCCTCTTACTAGAATTGTTTACAAGCAAGTTGATGCGGGTTTGACTCCCTAGTGTTGATTGCCCACTGTCGTCACTGTAAAAGAGGATAATTCCACCACACTGATAAGTCTGTGCGGTAAGTATAAATATAAATATATATATATATATATAAATAAATAAATTAGTCGGCAGAACAGGAGTGTTACCGTATAGCCGAAGACTTACCGAAGAGATAGTTGCCTTGCAAACGCAGCAGCAACATTGTGCCATATGTAAAATGAGAGAGAAAAGTAAACGAAAATCTGAAGATGTTCACGCGTTCTACTGGTTCTTCTGGGACTTTCGATATTAGATCGTCGCTAAAAATTTTATGCAAAACAGTATTTGGATGGCAGTAAAACAGTAAAGACTTGAATTTTATCTTTTTACGTCGGGAAAATGACTAAATTTACCATGTTTTGTTGTATGGATTAATGCGTAAGGATACATTATCATAAATCTACACCTGCTCTGTATCGCTACACGATTACCACGTGTTGTATTCCGCGATGTTTGTCGCATTTCAGCAGAATTAACAACTTAAGGCTTCCTCATCTATGGCTTACGATTACTGTGAAGAACACGAGGGTCACTAACAAGCGGGATCTAAAGTACCGTACAAGTAGCAGCGTAAAAACAATACAATTCTTCTTCTGAGGTTTGCTGTAAAAACAAATTTAATGTGTTTCGAGGCAAATCGAAAAATCGGAATTCAGGCCAAAAACAAAGCGTTTTTTGTTAAAATTATCAACTCAGATAAATTTGAAATTCTCGGCTGACGACGGATTACTGTATTAAAATAGCCACTGCCTTCTTCGCATACCGCAACCCGCATAACATTGCAACAATCA